ACACACACAGACACACAGACACGCAGACACACAGACACACAGACACACAGACACACACACACACAGACAGACACAGACAGACGGAGATAATGCACACACACGCACACGTTGGAGGTGCCTTCATTGCTGCTGACGTGCAAGGTGAGGACGCCGAAGAAGCCTGACATGCTTCTGGAAACCAACACAAATCCCAACTATGGCTGCTTCCGCGAGCCTACGAGCAAGGCACAAGGGAAAATAACAAAAAGTGCTACAGCTTTGCTTTGGATCCTACTTTTTGCGTGCAAAACAAACGAACGGAGGTCCAAGAGCTTAAACCCTAAACCCTAAACCCTTAAACCCTAAACCCTAAACCCTTGTCCAGAAGCTGGCATTGGCGCGATAGCTCACATTCACTGGCGCAGAGGCGCGCCCTGGTAGATCCGTCGTTGTCAGCGCCTCGAGGCATGTTAAGGGTTAAGGGTTGAAGGGTTCAAGATTCTGATTTTTAGGTTTTACATACTATATAGTATATAGTATATAGTACATAGTATATAGTATATAGATTCTAGTGTCTAGGTTCTATATACTATATAGTATATAGTAGTACTGTTTTGGGTTTGAAGGTTTAGGCCTGATGGCTTTGCTTAATTGCCCTGCTTGATACTGAGGATCCGAGAATTTTGGGAAGGTCGGTACCTAGCGCGTCCATTGATGCTAGGTTCAGAACTCCTCGCTCTGCTCTCCCCTGCTATTTAGGGTTTAGGGTTTAGGGTTTTGGATTTAGGTTTTAGGGTTTAGGATTTAGGGTTTAGGGTTTAGGATTTAGGATTTAGGGTTTAGGGTTTAGGGTTATACAGTATACACTATACACCCGACACCATACACTACACACTCTACACCATCCACTGGCAGAAGTGGGGTTCGGGGCCTCGAAAGCTTCAAGCTGCTCTGGCAAGCCCACGCCACGCGCAGAGCCCTCCCGCCAAGATACCTGGAGCACATGCGAATATTGCCGTTTCGAGTCCACGGAGGGGCTGAGTTCCAAGGAAATCTCTAAAAACTTTACCAAGAAAGGCGGCACGAGTACAATCTCGATTCGGATGCCGGACACATGTGTCTCACCACGGTTGTCGAGCGCGAAGGCCGCGTCTACGGAGGTTGTGAGAGGCCTGCTCAACAGGAGCAGCTCAGGCAGGAAGAAGTCGACTCTCACCTGGTCCGCAACTACTTAAAGGATCATGGGACTTTGTAAGTAGGGTTATAACTAGGGTAACTATACTTATGACCCCAAATAAGGGACTTGTGACCTTACTTACTAAGTCCCATGATCCTCCAAGTACGGAATCTCTTGCGTCCCGAAACGCACACAGAAACACGTTCTATGTATGACCGGGTCACTGGCTCTCTTGGGCCACCGGAGCCGAAGACGGCTTGCCTAGACGAAGTTAGGACCGCCACGGAGAAGTTGGTCTGGGCAGTGCTGCCTTCCGGATCATTCTCGGTGAGTGTGGGGTGCATCGCGCCGATGGTGTAGATACCTCCTGGGTCATTAGCGCAGGACATCTCTTGCTTCTTGCAGCACTCGATATGTGTTAACTGTTAAGCTTAAAGCAAAGCAGATTTGGTAGATGAAGCTGCTTCCAACAATGTCAGAGCCTCCCTCGAAAAGTTTCGGGGTGAAGTAGACTTGAAACACTCCGGCTGACTGGACGGAGGCGAAAGCTGTCAACGTTCGCCGCACACGCTCCCCAGCCAGACTTGTCACATCAACCCACACGAGCACCTTTGTCGTGCAGCCAGGGCGTAGACATCTTGGAGTTTACAAACCAAGCAAAGTGTAAACCTAGCAATCAATCAAAGAAACTGGGCGATCTGCGAAGCAAGCCTTAGCCTTGTCTCTCATAAACCCGAGAGCCGACACCAAAAGCTGTCTCAGACACCTTGAAGAGAACCAGCTCCACAGTGGAGGCATTGTATAGCACTCGGCCTCTCAAAAGCACAGGGAAGCCTCCCTGCAGCATGGTACCTTCCTTAGTCATTGTCGGAGTAGGAGGCAAGACAAGGCTCGGCTTTCTTCCTTGTGGCTTCTCAGCATGCTAGAGACTTGAAGCCTTAACCGTTCGTTCATGCTCTTCTTTTCTCGTCGGGCGCTTGATTGCATTGAGCTTTTTTTCCACAACAACACAACCCGTCGTCCGACGGAGAACCCAGTCGCAAGAGTCCAAAATCAAGAAACCCTTACCCGACCTGTATAAGGGTAGTTCTCTAAATTAGGGCACCTTTTCAGGTCCCCAATATAGTACGGCACCCTTATAAACAGGACCCTAAAAGGCGACCCTAATTTAGAGAACTACCCATAAGGTGATAGAAGGTGCTATGAACCTCCAGAAACGCAGAGAGTCAGAGTCCAGAGCTGGAGATCCGGCACGGTCGATGGACACTTCGGCAGAGTAGCTCGGGGGCACCTCCATCTGCAATCTGGATTCGATCCCCTGGCCCTAGGCTATGGGCCCCTTAGGGCTTGGGGATTTGCCCTAAACCCTAAACCC